GTTATGAAAGGTAAAAATATAGTGATAAAACCCAAAATTTTCCTTTTTTTTAGATTATATTATTATTACCTCTTTTTTGTAACTCTAGAGATTGGTCTTTGTGGCTCATCTACTCTGGTCATCACACAGTTACCGAGACACGCTGAACTATATTACATATTTCCTTACATTGCTGTTTGCTATGAGTAATACTAATATTTATTTGGAAAGAAAAATACAGATTAAAAATTGTTTCCCTTATTTTACTGAAAATAATTTGTAATAGAACATTATGAAGAAAAAACCCAATAATCTCAATAGATGCATTTTCAAAATGCCTAACTAGTCTATGAAGATTTTGTTTATGCCAGTTTCTATCCACACAATGATAAAACTCGAGAAGAACTAAACTACTTGAAGCATTCATGGAAAATGTTTCTGTACTGTATGAAGATTTTCTGCAGTTCTATTAGAGCTTTCTTAATCACTACTCCTTCAGTAGAAATGAATGCTTGACTTACACTATTCTCACTTTCAATAGGAATATTTCTGGAAATAATATAAATTTTAACAAAAAAGGATAACATTTTCATATAATTGTATATATATAAATTATTTAATATAATTTTAAGCTTAGTTAACTGGTAAAGTGAATTCTATGCTGATGGTAAGTAGCTTAATGAACCAGAATTTTTTAACCACAGCTAAAATACTGCATGGGTGTGGGAGTGTTCACTTTTTCTCCAGGACTCCTCATCAGTATTGAGCCATGAGACCTATTTATTGAATTGAGGTGCAGTTGACTCTGCAGAGACATCTGGTCTTTGACCTTTCCGTTATGATTTCAAGATGTGAATTATTGTCACAACATACAATTTTTTTTGTAATGTGGGTCTTCATCCTCAGCATTTGAACTCATTCCACCATCACATTTCAGGAAGGCAAAAGAGTGTCAAGCTAAAAGAATGTTCAAACTCAACCAATCTAAACTGGCTTCAATAATATAGCCTAGAGGTTAAAGCTTTAATATTCTAATTCTAGCTTGCCAAGCTATTGAACTGACAGTCAGTGTTAAGCATTTTGATACTCATGTATTCTTATTAGCAATATGAAGTTCATCGTAAAAGCTTTAATAATTGCCTCCTTTAACTCTATGATCACAGAAAGCAATAGACTGCATCTTAAATGCCTATATCTAGAGTTTCCTTTTTTTCATTAATCAGAGCAAATTAATTCTACATAATGAAGATGTATTGTCTCGCCTTGCATGTATCTTAATTATCATTGAAAGTGCCATAGATGTATCCCTGTTCATTCAAGTTTAAATATGGAATCTGAGACATAGTGAAGTCTAAGAGACATGCTTTATGTTCCTACACTACCAAAATTTCACCCTTAAGGAGAATTTTATGTTGACATTTTCAGGGCTGGAACTGTGCTCACCAAGTACAGGAAAATCAAACACTGAATTTCTGGTTAAAAGAAATCAATACCTAGCAACCTCTATTCAAGTTTGAGCAGGCTTTTCTATTATTATGAAATTTCACTAAATTAATTTCTGTAAGAGATAAAGTTTGTTGAATTTGGATTTCTTTTTTTTCTATAAAATCTGAACTTAAAATGAATGGAAGTTGAGAAATTACATATCAATGTATACATGACACAAATACAGAATTCTGAAACTGACAAAAATATTAAACTACTCAAAATTCACTGTTAGTTGGGCTTTATTTTAATTTTATTTTTTTAATTTTATTTTTAACTTCCATTTGGTTTTTCATTGTTTTTAATTCCTTCAAGGAAATTTCTTATGTTTGATAGGGCAACAGGATTTCAGCCTAGGAAATTATATTTATTCAAGATTTGCAGTCTTAAAGAGGTGGGAATCTAGCCACAGAGAATCAACTCTTCTTTAACTGTGAAGTATAAATATTAATACAAAGTTCACATTTATTTAAAAAGACGGTACTTCAAGAGATCGCAGAAATAAGTTAGAGTTGAATTTATTATATGTCATTTCAAGAATGTGAATTTGTTCTGAGAACATGTTTATTAATTTGGGTAAAATACATTACTGCATCTAATCTACTTGTAATATTATAGTAGGAAAAACCAACACAAGGCGACAATTTTATTACTTTCAATAAAAGTAATTTATAGCTTATCTAAGGAAATGAAATACAAGGATGACCAAATGACATGATTTAGATCACATTTTAATCTGTTACTATTTTAAAAGGCAAGGAGAAAAGTCCTCCAAAGGAAACTTTCTGTCAAAATGGAATTTTGTTGTTAGTATTCACTCAGATAGACACTGCTTGTGTGACATCCCTTATTTTGAACTACAGTGTAATAGGTGACACTGTACTTTGATGATATCATAAAGAAAAAAGTCACTCAGAAGACTGATCAGAACATATACCTGCCTGGTTTAAAATGTAACAGACTCTGGGTTGTGTACTCTTCATATATGAATGTCAGAAATCACTTTTCCTGCTCTGTAAATTCTCCATTTATCAACAATAAAAGAGAACTAAGAGAATTAAGAATCTATGCTACATCAGTGGTCCTAACTCTGCAATTTCTGTACGTAATGTAATGACCATTTCCATGTCCATATAATATGAAATATCATACAACTTTATTATTCTCAGCATCTAGTATTTTGAAAGGGTTTCTTGAACTCATTAAATTCTGGAACATGACTCCTTTTCATATAACAAGGATGTATAATTGGAGTTGTAACACTATTCTAGTTTTTTTAATGGATGGATAGAAATATGAAAAAGTACTACAAGAAGGTATCTAGCTTAGCAAAAGCTTTATGGTGTTTCAGTGAAAGATGAAGATTTGTGTTTCTCAGCACTCAAGATCCAACAGCTAGCAAAACCTTTCACTTTATAACAAAGGAAAAGAAAAAGAATAAGCATGTGTAGTGGTTTGAACTAAGTTTTCCCCCTGAAGCTAAGAAAAAGTGGTGACCCCCAAGGGGTGGTAACCCCTGGAAGTTTTGTCCAATGGGCGCTCCTGCAAAATGTAAACATATCACAACCAAATGGAAGAGTTGTAGTTTGGTTGTTTTTTGTAGGGGAGGTGGCCATGTTGAGAGCCATGAGGAAGGGGCTTGGAGGCCCTTGGAGGGCTCTGCCCCCTCCCAGCCCCGGCTGGGGGTACTGCAGAGACTTGGAAGAGTGTTAGACTGAGCTAAGTGTCTGTAGTTATGCTGGGAGATGTTTTCTCCACCCTGGGCAGCGGCAGGAGTAGCAAAAGACCAACACTGACTGGAGAAATAATGGCACAGAGCCAGAAGAGATAAGATGAAGCAACAGAGACATGCAGCACACAGAGAGAACTCCTGGAAGGAGAGAGAGCCAAGAGAGAGCCAACAGCAGCAGATGAGAGCAGAACTAGCTCTACAGAGAGAGTTGGGGTAAGAACTGAACCAAAAGACCCCAAACTCCTTTGAGACCTCCAAGAAAGGAGGAGTAGATGGACTCCTATTTGAGAGGAGCCTTGGAGTATAGCAGCACTAGCGAGAGAGAGGAGCTAGGAAGCTCAAAGGCGTCCTGAAGCTGGACCGGGACGGAGAAGGAATGTGGGGGGAGTTGACCTTGGCGCCCCTGCTGCTGCTGCCAAGCCTGGTAGCCTGAGACGGAGTACAGGAGCTCTGGTAGAACTCTTTCAGCTGAATGCTGCCCAAGATGTTCTGACTCAGGGGTGAACCCCTGAGGAAGGGACTTTCATGAAGATGCCCCTACATTTCGTGATATGACGTGGTGAAGAGAGCTTGTCCCTGCTACGCAGTCCACGGAAGAGAAGACCCTCGTTTTGGAGACGACGGGGGCCGAGGGGGCTTGGATACCCCCCTCGTGAGTGCTGGCAGAAATCCAGGAACAGCTGCTGCATGTATGAGATGAGGAGAACCTGTTGCCTTAGAAGATACTCCTGCTTAGAGACTGGAAGGAATCCGTCCTTCTTCCCTCCTGAACTTTTATTTGGAGGGGAGAAGAGATCTGATCCATTGTAAATACTTATGTCATGGTAGAGATAGTTGTGATCGTGTGTATAATGTATTATAGTATTTATTTGTACAGTCATTGTAATATATTCCCTTTCCTCCATTTGGAGTCTGGTGTGTTTTGTCTAGAAAAAAACCCATCTCACATTGGATTGAGATGTGACAGGGGGGCTAGGACTAGGGAATTAGATTTTGGGGCTATCTCAAACCATGACAGCATGGTATATTAAGGCTGAGAGCCTTGAGTCTGAAATGTGATTACAGTCATCGGACCTTCATTATTCAGAACTGTTCCAACACTTAGAAATATGTAACCGTCATTTCTGTTGTCTCTGCTCAGCAGCTAAAAGTAAAAATTAAAAATAATCTTATTTCAGATGCAAACTCCTAGCTAGAGTGTTATATGAGTTACTACAGTGCTGCTAATATTAGTGGAAGTTATGATGTAATTTATTAGAGCTTCATAAAAGTTGCTTATCAAAGGAACTTTGACAGGTCTCAGTGACCTCTTAAGTCTATTAGCATACCCTGCAGTCAAAAAAAGAAAAGCCTTTAGAGTTTTGTCATACTAGTGTGGGTGGAGGGAGGGAATATTGTGAAAGAAGTCTGACAAGTAGTTGACAAATAGTTACTGAAATTTGAAAAGCTGACAATATCAAACATTCCTGAGTGACTCATGCTGTATTAAACTAACTACAATAATCACTCAGATTTCCAGATATATAGGAATCTAGGATTTCTGGAAAATAGACATGAAGCATGTATGAATCAACTGCTCTGTTCGTATGATATAAAGTTGATGTGTAAATACAGAACAAATTTGATGTCTCTGTGATTCAGGCTTCCTACATATGAGATCAATCATAGATTTACAGTTTCGGGAATTTTACAAGAGAGCTTGGAATACAAGTTTTGTGAGATAGACACTGGAGGATATTGTTATAGCAGTGAAGTTGGAAATGACAATTTAGCTGATCAAAGTAATAGATCTATACCAACTTACCACCTCACCACAACGTCCTCACAGCGCAGTCAACGACTGGAGGATTAAAAGTGTAAGACTCTTCAAGATTTCCCTGAAATAAAAAATCAGACATGTTTTATTTGTCTTTCTACAGCAACACCAGTAAATTCTGAAGGCTTCAAGAAATAGATAAATTAATACATTAGTGATAAATAACTTTGCAACAGATATCATTGAAGGGTAGCAAAAAAAAGTGGAATTTCTAGAGTAACTCTGATGTAAATGAGTATAAATCATAAATTGTCATATATAAAATTATTTATTTGTAATGAAATTATCTGTATTTGATTGAAGAGTTTATAAAAAAAATTGTGTTTCAAACACTTTGTCTTAATTATAAACACTTTTTTGCTATGTGACTGTGCTAGACAAATTCTTTTTCAATTTACTATTTACTTGCACAGGCAGTATGTTACCTGGTAAATTACCTCAGGTTTCTGGAAACAGAACTGTAACCTTGTCAATAGTAAAATTATCTCATCACATACCATAAAGTAGAATCAATCTCTAGCATATGAATGTCCATTCAGCTCACTAATTTAACTCCGTCTCGCTAAAAATCAGGCTTATGAGGTGGGCCTGTGCAAACCTCATAATATTCAACTAGGCCAAATGCAAGGTCCTGCACCTGGGTTGGGGAAATCCAAAGCACAAGTACAACCTGGGCAGAGAGTGGATTCAGAGGAGAAAGATTTGGAGGTGTTAGTTGATGAAAAGAAAAACACGATCCATTAATGTGCACTTGCAGTTCAGAAAGCCAACCACAGCTTGGGCTGCATCAAAAGGAGCGTGATTGTGGGAAGTGATTCCCCCCCTCTGCTCTGTTCTCATGAGACCCCCCATCTGAGGTACTGCATCCAGGTCTAGGGTCTCCAACACAAAAAAGATATGGACCTGTTGGAACAAGTCTAGAGGAGAGACATTAAGTTGAACACAGGGCTGGAACACCTCTCCTATGAAGATGAGCTGAGAGAGTTGGGGTTGCTCAGCCCAGAGAAGAGAAGGCTTGAGGGAGAATTTATAGCACCTTCCAGCATCCAAAGGGGGCTTACAAAAAGGCTGGAGAGGGGCTTTTGACATGTAATGATAGGACAAGGGAGAATGACTTTAAGATGAAGGAGTATAGGTTTACATTAGATATTAGGAAGGAACAGGTTGGCCAGAGAAGTTGTGGACTCCCAGTACCTGCAGGCTTTCAAGGCCAGGCTGGATGGGGCTCTGTACAACCTGGTATAGTGGAAAGAACTAGATGATCTTTAAGGTCCCTTCCAACTCTAACCATTCTACAACTCTTTAATTCTATGATCTTTCCTAGGAGTAAAGGCTCAGAAGGGTCATGCTGTTCAATCTGGAGAAGAGAAGGCATTGACATACATAAACAACTGAAGGGAAGATGCAAAGAAGATGGAGTCAGGCTCTTTTCTTTGATGTCCAATGACAGGACAAGAAGCAATGGGAACAAGGAAAAACAGAAAGGTCTGTATAAATATCAGAAAATGGCTTTCTTACTGTGAGGGTAACTGAATGCTGAAGCAGATTGCACAGAAATCGTTGTGGAATATTCATCTTGGAAATACTGAAAAGCCATCTGGACAGGGTCTTGGGCAGCCTGTTCTCTGTAGATCCGATTCAGTAGGGAGGTTGGCCCAAATCCAGCCTCAACCACTCTGTGATACTGTGATATTTTATTCATGGTACTTAAGAGTTTGCATTTTATTGACCCACCTGGGCAGACTGGGATTGCTAGGCACCTTCTACCTTTTTATGTATCTCAATGGTGATGTTCAGAGTTCACAATATCCCTAAATGATTCAGGAAAGAATAAAATTAAATAGCAAAAAATAATGAATAGTGATCAAGGACGTTTCACCCTAAAAATGCTCTTCCCCTAAACTTTAGGAAAAAGTAGTCTATTTTTGTCATACTACAATAACAGTTTCAGTGACTTATTTTTTTTAATGCACTGCATATGCAACACAAAGTTGTTGAGCAAAGGCAAGTAGAGAACTTTTGTAAAAGTAAGAAATGTTAAGTAATATAAAATGCAATGGGAGCCTATTTGGAGCATTTATTTAATATGATCTCACAGTGCCTTCAAATGTGGTGCAGCATGCTTGTATGGATTGAGTTAGTTATTTTGAAGCATTTCAATATCTGTCTTATTTTCCACAGTCATACTGGAAGCAGAGTGATTACAAATATGCAAATAATAATGTTGTCGGTGCTGAAGGCTGAATGACAGGGTTCACATGACTACCTTGAATACACATTTTGTTACATTTTAACACTGCTGTGTTTATGGTAGAGATTTTTTAGGCTGACACTATGCACCAGTTAGCATTTCCTTTATATATGTAAAAGCATCAATTAATTTTTTTTTTAACTTAAGTTGCTTAATTAATTATCACATTGTAGGAATCCTGGTTAAACAATATGAACTCCTAAAATACATTCTGAAAACTGGCACACTACCCATGCTCCTTTTTCATAAACATGCAAATAAACATGCAAAAACATGCAAATAAACATGCAAAAATTCCCCTCTTTTATCAGTCCCCTTTGTTAATCCCCTATGTGTTTTAGCTGCTTGTATTGAATTTTTCTTGCTCTAAGTACACAGGCTTTTATCATTTGAAAATTATGAACCTGTCCAGGTTCATAAACTCACTGAAAGATTATTTTTATGTTCAGTATTTTCCTTTTCTGTTAATACTTCTAGTTTTCTTCAACTATTCTTAAAAAAAAAAAAAAGCAACAACCACAAAAAAACCACAAACAAAACAAAACAGTAATTCTAACCACAAAAAGTAAAAATAATGCCTAAAATGTATTCTTAACATTTTAACTTGCTAAGCACAAGAACAGTCCAGTTTAAATAGATTAGTTTATTGGTATTTTCTGGAAGAGCAATAAACACATTCTCTGTATATTTAAAAGAAAGAGGAAGAACCATTTCAAAGTCATGTAAGTGGGACAGAAGATCAGTGAGGCTAACTTTTTCCTATATTTGGGGGCATGCATGCCTTTCACCTCCATCTCCCCTTGCACGGTTTCTTTTCTATCTGCCATTCCATGACTCTTTTCTATTCTTTCTCGATTTCTTTTAATAATTTCACTGTTAGGGTTCATTCAATTTTCATCTCAGTATCATCAAGGATATCAGTATATCAGCATTTCTATGAATCTAAATCACAGATGCTAAAACCTTGAAAACTGACAAGATCAACAGCATATCTGAATATCCTATGTTAGCTCTGGAAACTCCTCTATTAGGTTTCCTAAACTTGCAGACACAGAGAAATGCCCACTACAAAGAGAATGGTACATTACATTGCTACAGATATCAAGAGAATGATATTGTTACACATCCCCAAAGGATCAACAGGTTTGTCCCTGCTTCAAAATAAAATAACTTATAAAACGACTTAAATTTTTCTTAAAAATATTCACCTTCCCCAAAAATCTGTTGTGTCTCCAGAACATTTATTCCTTACATCCAACTATAAATATATGAAAGCAGATGTCACAGCCTCCCAACCTTGTTTCTAAACCATTGTGTCACACAGTGTTAAAAGCTCTGGAGAGAAAGGACATGGTCTGTGCTGAGTGGCTGTCAGCAAACTTAGGAGGCAGACAGTTCTGTTAGATGCTGTGTGACCATGGCCAGGCCTCTCTCAGGTTTGTCACTGGTAAGTGGAGATGACAGTCTTCTGCTATGTCCCCGACATGCCATGGAAATGAATTCATTGAAGAATATTGTGAAAGCATGTGACTATATGTGAATGAATGTAACTCATTTAAATTTGACCTCATTAAGGCTAATTCTCTTGTGATTGTCCTTTAGTCTGCTTCATAATCACTCTTGTATTGAAATGATGAAAATAAGCATTCATTGTATTTTATGCCTGAAGTGGACAAGACTAACAGATACCTCAGAAAAGAGAGTATGTCTTTCTGTTGTGTTTTTGTGCCCTGTCCACTCTTGCTTCCCTGACAGAATCCATGAGTCTAAAGAATTTACCAATGATGCTTAAGAAACAACAGTCTCGTTTTCTGCAAGTTTACCTTTTTGATGACAGTGTGATAAATGGTACACCAGCACAGGGAAGGGGGCAAGCAGATGATTTGGGACTCTTTATGATAACTAGACTGTAGCTTTTTTTTTTTGAAGAAAAACCTCTCTCAGGTATTTAGACGTCACAGACAGGGACAGTCGAGGTCTCTTTAGCAACTAAAAAGCCTATTGGGACAAATGAGATTGTAGTCAAGCCTATTTTTTTCAAGGGAAACAGTGTGGTTTTATACATGGATATGGCACAGGTCCTACATGGATTAATGAACAAGAAAACACTTCTGTACTCTAGAAAAGAAAGAAACTAATACACTCAAAACAAAAAGTAGTGAGAAGAGAAGGAATTAAGTAACTGCCTTATAGTCAACTTTGTACCAACAACTGTCATGCTGGGATAGTCTAAATCTGAGTAATTTCATTTAGATGCTGGACACTGTTGCATCAACACAACACTGTCTATAACATTAGCTATATTCAGATTTAGATTATAAAAAGTATGTAGAAAACATCTAAAAATGAAAGCACTGAAAAAATAGAATATTGGTTTCATTATAAGCAAGGTAGTGGGGTGGAAGTTGAATCTTCTGCAGACTGGAAGTGCTTTGAATTAATTTCAGAGAGAAGGCTCAACACTTCTATCATTTTACAAAAAATTAATTAAAGGGATGAAAGACTGCATAAAACTTAGGCATATAACTAGACTTCTTTCATAGTAATTTATTTTTCCCCACAGATTTGGAAAACGTGATTTTTATTTAGAAAATTTATTTGACGAAGTGATTACACTGTCAAAAGTTGCTTTCTTATTAAGAGCAAATTTTCCTCTCCGATACAATAACTGCCATCAACAGCATCTGATAATCATTCTCAAGATGTGTAAGTACACAGTTTACTGGCATCTTTAGAAATATTATGAACTTCAAAGATGCAACATAAAGACTGTGAAAATGTGTATTTCTCAAATGAAGTTTAGAGTAAAA